GAAGACGATAGAAAGGGAACGGAACTAAAGGGAAAGAGCAAAACAGAAAAGAAGGGTAACCAACTATCGGAAAAAATAATCTGAGAGAAAGGAAAAAGAAACAAAGTCGTCTGCAAATGTGTATAGATGTGGAGTATGTACAAAAAAAAATGCACACGAACATATATAGTAGCTATGTTTAGAAATTCTCTCTTCTTGAACTTCCGCACGCGCGCTCGCTCGTATATTCCTTGTACGACGAAACATTGCGAATGAGGAAAAAGAACGGGCATATGACGATAGATATGAGTTACGTCGCGTTATAGAAACAAAATAGACCAAAGATAAAAGAAAAGAGTTCATCAGAACTATCATCATGATCAATAATATATCACTAATGTAATCATAACGAGTATCTAGATTGATCCTTAGAACACATAAAACGAACGTTACACTTTCAAACAAAATTATAGAATAAAATAACATATTTTCGACTTTAATTGCACATTAATATATACGATAGAAAGCAAAATGTACTCAACAACGACAAAAGAAAGAGAAGAGAAGGCGAGGCGAAAAAGCGGACGGAACGGAAAAAAGTGTGTTTTGCGCTCGGAAAGTTGACGACCGATGATGGCGGTGGAATAAGCAGCAGTAGTAGTAGCATCTTCTATTCTGCTGTAATGTTGTTCGTCGGGAACGAACGCGAGTGTGCGCACACATACACGTAGCGACGAAGAAGAAAAGTTAAGTATAGTCGTCTAGGTTTTTCCGTACCGCATCTGTTCTCGTTGATGTATTTACTTTACGTGTGTGTGCTTTCTCTCTCTCTCTCTTTATGTATGCTGGGGACTACATAAGGAGAAAAGTCAGACGTGTATATGTTTGTGCTTCGATAGTGAGCAAGTTATGTTGAGGAATATGATCTTTGGTTATATGCACACGCGCGAGTGAGAATAATGTCGTTTTCGCGTCATCGCGAGAAAAAAAGATGAATGATGAATGAATATGAGGAAAGACGGAAATGGACGTGTAAGCACAACCAGTAAGAATTCTCTTTACAATGGTGCAATATTATATAATATAGTGTATAACTTCTTTGAAATCTAATCAATACTCTAATCTTCTAAACGAATTAGAAAAAGATAAATTCACTAAATGATTCTATTCGAATCTAAACAATCAAATAGATTATTCAAGTTTTGAATCAAAGGAAACAATTATTTTTTTTTTTCGATTTATATAATATTTCAAATCAATTACTCACAAGAATTCTTTTACAATTGAATAATATAGCTTAAAGTTCGATCATGATTTGATTATTTCAATAAGTTGCATGTCATCAAATTAATGATTCATATTGTACCAAAACCAAATTATCAACATTCATACCTGGATAGGCTTTCGATGAGTCTTTGAAAATATATAAAACAAAATATTTTTCGTATCTTTATTAGAAAAATAAAAATAATCCAGTTAAAAACATTTGACAAATATCCTTAAGTGTAGTTATTCATACATTAATCACATTGACACATTGTTGTTTATGCTTCACTGAGTTGCCTTATACTTGTCATAGTATTTAATACATGCTCAAATGTATGAGGATTCAAAGTCGTTTTATTTGCCATAAAAAACCACATACATATATATAAATTAAACGTAGCTATGGGTGCTCGTTCAAGTCGTGACACACATGAAAACTGGGATATGAATGAATTATCACAGGCCACTGGTGTATCTCCTCAACAAATTCAGAAAATCTATCAATCATTTCAACAAGCAGCTGGTCGTGATGGAGTATTAGATCAGAGTGAATTCGCTGGTTTGTACAGTCATTTTCCTGGTGCTCAGCAACAAGGTCCTGAATATATGCAACAACAAATTCCTCGACTCTTTCGTACATTTGATCGTGATCGTTCCGGTGCACTTTCATTCGATGAATTTCTTAATGCTATCGTTATGATGAATCGTAACATGCCTCGTCAAGATCGTATTAATTTTCTTGTACAACAAAATAATAAACATGGACGTCAGCAGGGTGATGGACGTATTACACCTGAATATGGTCATCAAGTTTTTCGACGTCTTAATGATTATTATGGTTTACCTCCTGGTACAGAACATCAATGTTGGAAAGAACTTGATCGAAATAATCGTGGTTACGTCACTCAAAACGAATTTTCACAATATATTAGCCGACAACCAGTCTACAATCAACGTTATCAATCTTAAAATTTTATTATACTAATTGATCACATGTATTTTTTCAATATAAATATCATTTTATTTCTTTTATAAATTTTTACTAACTTGTATACAAATTGTGAATCAGTTATAAACAAATAAAAAAGAATAAAGTTAAATAAGAAAATCTCTTTATATCTTTTATTTGATTCATTGAATAAGAATCTCAATAAATGATAGATAAATAATATCGCAAAAACGTCATTGATTATTATTTGTATAGTACATGTGGTATTTTCGTTCGATAAAATATTGACGTCAATATAATTACAAAAATAGGTATTAATATTATATTTTTCTATTCATAATTACATTTAATCAATATAACGATAGCATACGATATTGTGTTGGACTGTATAATACAAAAATCTACCATATAGGGTTTTTGAGTATAATTATATCGGTCTGTATTTTTATTCGAGTATAATATATATATATACACTGATTAAATTGTTAATATTTACATTTAGATATTTTGTAAACGTTTCTACTTCAGTATCAATGGGAAATCGTTCAAGTCAAACCCCATCGAATCCATGGAACTCAATTCATTTAGCAGAAGCTACTGGTTTATCTACTGATGAGATTAATCAATTTTATTCAGAATTTGTGAGAGCATCTGGATATAATGGTGTGATGAATATGAGTAAGTTTATACAGTTATATTCTCATCTTCCAGCAATGAAATCACAAGATGCAAATGAAGTACAAGAACGAGCAACTCGTATATTTCGTGCATTTGATAGAAAGAATACTGGGATATTATCTTTCGATGAATTTATTGCTGCTATTATAATGATAAATTATGAAATGGCACCAAATATTCCTACTAACTCGAGTATTCAGGAAAATAATACTTCGGAACATGAATTAGATGATGGACGAATTACAGCTGAAGACGGTCAAAATCTATTTCGACGTCTTAATGATTATTATGGTTTACCTGCCGGTGGAGAACAACAATGTTGGAAAGAAGTCGATCGAGATAATCGTGGTTATGTTACCAAAGAAGAACTTATCGAATATATTAGTCATTATCAAGATGGTAATCGTCAATAATATTAATAATTTTCGAACTGTTTCTTAAAACTTTTAGTGGATTAAAAATAGATTTCCGTCAGATCAATAATGCATTGTATTAGAGATCTTGATACATTTTTTCGAGAATTTTAAATTATCATTTATTTCCTTTTAAATAACTAGTAACTAATAAATAACTGCTGATCTAGAATATTTTATTGTGATAAAACAATTGATTAAAATTAACAAACCACAATACAATGCAATAAAATTTAGCTCGAAAGTTATTCGTACAATTGATTAATGATGTTCGTTCTTTAATATCTTGAGAGGAGTTCAGAATATAACTCGGCTGTCATGATTGATAGATCAAATATTTCATATACAGGTATATAAATGCTAAGTAATTAAAATTTTTCATGATTTTACTTTCTGAATGAAAGGAAGTACTTGAAAACTATTATAGCTGAATACTCAAGTGACATACTTCCCAAAATACTTTAGAAATATATTTCCTCATTCAGAATAATATATTCCAAAAATTTTACTTATATGAATATTATCGCTTTCATCTTAAGATATTAAAAACACAACGTCATTTATCAGTTGTACGAATAATCTATTAACTTGTTCTCAAAAATTATAAATATCATGAAAAAAAATTGTGCAGATAAAACATCATTTTTCTCTTTGCCATTTGTAAAATTTTATCATACTTTTTGTGTTTTTCGTTCGATCTCTTGTCGTATCATCTTTTGTTGAATATGTGCTGGTAAACCAGGATTCAATAAAGATATATATGGTAATATTGCTTTTGCCATATTTTCAAAATCTACCATGACTTTAATAAACATTGTATCATCCTTAACATATGAACTATCAGGTTTATCAATCATATTTAGTGGAACAAATTTTGGAATACCACTTGCAATATTCATATCGGAACGTGGTCGTTGAAAACTATTTGATTTTATATCAGGACGAAATGAATCAATAATATGTTTCTTGTTGGATGTTTGATCATAGAGGCAAAATGTAACTTTATAATTAAACGGGAAATGAAGTATACAATCATGAGGGCCACGCATTAAAACGAAAAATACAGACATATGTGTACGTCGAGCATTTCCATCCCCGTGTAAATATAGACGCGCTCGCATTTGATATCCGGTAGGAGATGAACGAAATGGCGGAGAGTATATCGATGTTTGTCGTTCCGATTTTGCATCATCTAAAAATAAATAATTCTAATCATATGGTTTTATTAATTGTGTACTTATGAATCAATACAACTCATATTTATGATGAAAATAGATCGTTTTGGTAACAACGAAAAAGTTCAATCCGAATTACTATGAAATATTCTTACCCATTTTCTCTCGGAATTGATTAATTTTCCATATTAATGTTCCATCATAAGAGATAACTTGCTGATCTTCCAATTGATATCTTAAAGATAATATCTTTTGTTGAAGAACCATTAAATTAATATTCATTGCACTTAAAACATTATTTGATTCTTCAATCGATGTTTTCATTGTTGGCAAAGCTTTAGTTATTGCTGTAATTGATTCGGATTGTTGTAATGCATCATTGTTCAAACGAATCACTTCGTTATTCAGTTCATGAATACCATCTGCGAGAGGATTTATCATTTTCGAATACAATTCTAATTCACTTTTATATTCATCCATATTTGTTTCTGAAGATGATGTAGTCGTCATTTGCGAATTCATATTGGATATTTCCATTTTCATATCAGTATCAATAGATGAAGATGTCTGATATTGTTCTTTAAGTTGTGAATTAAGCTGATTCATACAGAACAGAACACTTCTCTGGTGCTCTTCTGTCCGATAATGTTCTTTGAGATCACTACGAAGAATCTATGTGAAATACATAAGTAGAAGTATGCTATCATGCGTAGAACAAACCTGTTCTTTACATCCATATGATTGTAGAAGACAATTTACTAATTTCTTTGGACAAAATTTGTCGTTATGCTCTTCCAGTAGTACAAGAGAATTATAAACTTCAGTACAACAAGAACATCTATATTGTTGATGTAACTTTTCAAGATGATCCTAAATTTAATACAAGAAATATTCTATAAGTGAATGATACTTATATATCGAGATATACTTGATAATTCTTCAAGTGTCCAACCCATTCGCAGAAACCGCAATTGATTTGTAATGTTTGCATGTCTCTTTGAAAACCTTTGTCCAGTCTTACCTATATAAATGAAATAATATTGAATAAAATCATATAAAATAATAACTATGTATAAGTATATTGAATTTACCTCAGCACATACTGTATCTTCTTTGCATAGTATGCAATGAAAAGTCCTAATAAAAAAATAATGGTACATATTGAAAATAAAAAGTTTCTAATTTCTTACTCATTTTGTGAACTAAAGCATATTTGGCATGCCCTATGGCCACACGTCAGTTGAACTGGGTCTTTGAGCAGATTAGTGCAGATTAAGCATCTGTATTTCTGATCAAACAATTCTATATCCTTAACGATATATCCGCAAGTTGTTGAGTTTGACTAGAAGTTAAAACATTTCTTTAAATGAAAATTATTCATAAAAAATCTTACCATTATAAACTTTGAATGAACTTAGATGAATGTGTGTTTTATTTAAAATGATGACTAAGATCTGAAATGGAAAACTGAGATTGTTACCTATTGATGAAACTATAAAATAAATTTCAAATAAATATTTTTTTCATTTGAAATAAAAATAGAAATATAAAACATTTCATAAATAGATCAATTAATAGTTCGATGTATATTACAATTTATATTATATAAAAATGCATTCTTAATGTGTAATTTGAATACATATTCTTTAACTTTTTATCTTGTTTTATATTAATTTTGATAAAAGTCTTATTTCTTAAACGAATAATAATGATATCCAATCATTTTAAATCGATAAGATCAGTATTAGTTGAATCTCGTTCAGATATCTATTATTCGACTATAAAACATCTATCAATCTGATTTGGAAGATTAAAAGATGTAGAGAAACTATCTAGAAGTAAAAAGAAAATGAATACGATTATATATGTACATAGGTTACACTAAAACATTTTCTCATTCGATTCTTCTAGACATCATAAATTGAAGATATCTGTCCCATTATAATAGCTAAACTTATTTAGGATTACGCGCAAAATTTCAGATTTCCGCGTGTGATACTGGAAAATTGATTTAACATACGAAGATAGCTATGCCCATTTGATCTAAGCTTGAGGAGATCAAGCACTCAGTTGGTTTCACAAATTTCAATTGAGCAATTTCAGTGTTGAAGGTACTGCCCATTCAAGTCGTCCTCGAACTCGTGTAAACTAACAAACAATTGTTGCTGTCCAATCAATGGTTCATCAGCAAGGGTGTGTGTGTGTCAATCATTGAACTACGATCAATAAAATTTCATCGTGGCCAAAGTTTCGGAAAACGAATGGTGGCAATTTTATTCACGAAATCCAGTTTAATCAAATGTAGACCATTAGAACCTAGTGCAATGATAAGCGCAAACCAATATTTGGTAGAAAACCATGTTGAACCATATCCAAACCCATCGTATTCTCCAGATCCAAGGCCGTGTGACTTATTTTTGTTTCCAAAACTTAAAAACCAGCTATATGAAATTCAATCCAACCATAACACTACAATATTGGATGCATTCGAACAAGCTGTCAATATCCTGATAAAGGACGATTTCAAAAATTGCTTTGATGATTGGTTTATTCGAATGAACAGGTGTACTGAAGTTAGGGGAGAGTACTTTGATTATTTGTTTAAAGGACTCACAAAAAACTTTTGGAGTTATCCTTGTATGTAATATAAACAGTACTAATATTAGTCATTGTTTATCATTACACTAAAACTTCCAAACCATTATTGACAGAATATAATTTTTATTACCAAATAATAAAATAATTCTATTTTAGTTAAATGGTTATCCATATTGTTAATTTATTAAAATACGTACATATCATTATTGTTCAACGTAGGTTTTAAATCAATTTGTTTTATATATTATGGAAATAATTCATTCATTCATTTTCTCCTCCCTTTTCCTTGTGGATCGGAATTTGAGTTTGTTCAATAGTTATTTTCATTGGTTTCAATCTTTTGCCACTTGTTGCATCTCAAATAATTGAAAGCCTGAACGTTCCTGGTAGAATTTTTCGACATGTTAATGCTAGTTCGTTCGTGATCGTTGTGGTATTCTAAGTACATGTTCCAGTCATCATTCTTATGAATGCTTAATATGAAGAAGTAGACGTTCGATCTAATTTTCTCTGTTAATATTCACCATTCATGGCCATATATGAGGGTAAGCCGATATACTGATTTTCATATTAAAAACTTTGTCTTTTTGCTTAACTCTACCTTTACCATTACTAACCACTAGAGTGAATACAAGACTTCATTTGTTGCGCCAATTCTTCAATCCATTTCACTATCTTGTTTTTCACCGATTTAGAATTCAACACTCAGATACTTGAATTTGTTCACCTAGTTCAATGGATTGTTCTTAAAGTACAGGGTAGATTGATTTGAATCTCTTGAAATTATCATTATTTCAATTTTCTTCACACTGATTTCCATACCAAAGATTGAGCATACCTATTCAAATTGATCAAGGATAGTTTTTAGTCTATTAGCCAATAATACTAGACGAACGCCATTATCAGCAATAAGTAGAAAATCTACTCAAACATCACTGATCTCGATGCAAGCTAGGTTAGTACTTGTTCGAGATAATTCATCCACGAACTTTATAAATAACAGTAGAGATAATACGCATCATTAATGAAGTCCAACTTGCACCTGGAAGAAGCTTGATCTACTACCATTTATGGGTAGATGTTGGCTTGATCATATACCACACCCTTGCTGGCAAGTGACATAATATTCTATGTAATAAATTTTGATATTGCATTGATTTTATCTACTCTGATGTTTAATTCCACTGAACGTGCCTTTAAGACATCATGCCATCCCCTCATATCTTCTAGGACACTTGATTAGTTGGTTCCCGCAGCCTTTTTGTGTTGATTGCTAAGCACCCGCATATGAGCTTTATCTCCACGTCTGTCTCCAGGGGCAAGCGCTAATATCCAATATGCAGGTAAGATACGAATATCTTCTACTGTGTACATCCTGAGAGGTTTGCAGATGCCCATCAGCGTTATCCAGAAAATACCGTGAGGTGTAGAGCTTGACTTGTTTTATCTGATGAAAATGAATGATGAAAAATTAGTTCAATTCAGTATTTATCCGAATGAAACTATTCTACTTCAATTGTACATTGTTCTTCAATCGACTTTTCTTCTCTTGATAGGTTAAAGTAAAACTGATTGCCATCATATTTTTATAACTAATTTCGGTTGTTGTACGTTATATTGACATGTGCAATCTACTTATTTTTGAAGACTGATATGATTAACGCTTAACTCGAATAATAAAGATTGCGTTTGAACATTACAACAAAGTCCAGCATTTTTTTTGCCCACAAAATAATTCTTGAGGGTGAGTGTGGGTATGTGTGTGACTGCAATTCTTTGTTAAAATGCACTGACAAGTGCAACCTCACCTGCATCCATACCCTCAAGATGGTTTTATAGGGTCGAAGATTTTTTTATCAAATTAATCAAGTACTTGGAAAAAGATTTTTTCCAACATGTGATATCTAAAGCAAATAAAACTTGATAACGTTTACTAGCGTAAAAGCCGTTATCGTCAAATATTTAACATCTTATAATGGCCCTCTTCTTGTACTTTATGAGAAAAGTAATATAGAAGTTGTTTTATCTTGTGACGAAATCTAAAATTCGGTAGATTTTATTGTATAGAACTATAAAACAATAAATAATTTTGCTAGAAACTGCGTTTTTAATACTTATTATGTAGGAAAAAACTAGGAAAATTCTGTTATCTTTGCAATCATGAGTTTACATTTTTTCAAAACTAAATTTTCGCAAATTTTCATCTGTTATATTTTGAAAAAATTATCCCAAGATTTTCATATCATAAATATGGTTTCTTTACCCACGATATTTCAGGGAAAAACATCATAAATTTAAGCAATAAAAGTCAGTCGAGATATCGTCAAGTGTTATATATGCGTAAGAAATATTCTCAATGATGATGTATTAAATGTTTTGCAACTACCTAAAAAAAGATACCGGTATACTTTCTTTAATCTGAAATATCGAAACTACAAGAAGGAGACTACACGTAAAAAATCCTTAGTGAAAAAGTATTTTTGTCTTGATATACAACCTGTCGAAGAATTGCTTAATACATCCAGTGCTTTGTCTTTCTTCAAAACGTTTTATTTTTATTTTGAGAAGCATTTCTCCTGATCATGTATTTATACCAATAGAAATCAAAAAATGAAACTATATTATATATTTTTATCTTATATAAGCTAATAATAAATATTCTGCGATATATTTTTAGAAAAAATGTCAATAGATGATTAAATATAGATGGTCCTAGCTTAAAATATGACGTAAAATATTTAAAAAGCGACAATATATTTATAGTATATTATTGACCTATTTCTAAATATAATACTACTCAGTTATGATATGAAATAGTTTATCGAACTGATATTATTCTAGTAAATAAATATCATTACATATAATAATTAATAAATTATAATAAATACGTTAGGAAAATCATGCGGATACTAACCTCTTTGTATTTTCATAAGTGTACCAAAATACTAAGATAGTATGTTTTCGTCTACCATCATTCACAAAAAGGAAGTAATAACACACTCATTTTTATGATATTTTCAACCTTTATATACTATAAAAAGTAAACCCTCGAGTAAAAGTAATGAAAAATAATGACTGTCTGTACTTTATAGGAAGTCCACAGTTGTTTTTTCCAACTAAACTTAATATTAAATACACCTGGACGATTTGATTACAATTCGGGGAAGAATGTTATGCTAGACTGTCTCGTTATAAAAACAACTCGATAAGAAAAGTACATTTTTTTCTCTTTTCTTTCTTCATACTTTAATGTTTTTTTCGTTAGTTTCTACCGAGTGAAGCAATGCATCACGCGCTTGCTGTCTGTGTTACATATTAGCTTCACAATAACAACATACAACACATGGGGAATAATTTTACTTCCTACACATGGCATACACGTATAGGTGGATGAGGGGCCGAATGCATTTTATAGTCGAGTTTTTTTGTGATTCTTTGGTAAATATTGATTTACTTTTGATTATAGTCAGTTTGTGTTGGATTTAAAAAATGAAAGGAAGTAGACGATATAAAATCTGGATATCAACTTTCAACCTTTAAATTTATATAGAAAAATTAATACGATACATGACTCAAGGAAGACATAAAAAATTAGCACGCACACTTGTTAAGATAATGTTATTTAACTAGTTGTGCTTACAAGTATAATAATTTATACATCTACCGGACTAGCGAAATTCAACAAGTTTGTATCAGTAAATTTTTCTTGAATAAAAAATTATAAATAACAGAAGTGAGTTTATTTCAGAACAGGTTTTATGTGAAATATCTTTCCATTTCTATCTATAGATAGAATAAATTAGTTTTAAAATAATACTGATACTATTAAATCATTTTTTTATTTCAAAGGAATACTACTGAATGATATATATAATTCACAGTAGTTTAAATTATTTTCTTCTGTTTTAGGTGAAACTTTTAATTTTATCTCTTTATTACTTTGAGGGAAAGAATATTAAAAGATTGTAAATGTATGCAACATAGTGATTTATTATCACTTAAAAATGGGTTTTATACACGTCTTCAAAAACGTTATCAGAGGTCTTATCATAAGAAAAAAAAGTATGTGTGAGATTGTTCCCACAATATCATTTAATAAAAATCGTACAAGAAAAGTGACTCTTAGTGCATGAATGAGGATTGAGATACGAATCGAATTTAAAGTGCAGAGTTGCCAGACGAAGACGTCTTTTCAGTCTGATCTGATTGCAATTACCTATCCTGTACGACTAAAAGTTCAAGGTCAGCCTATATCTTGATCTCGCCTGATACAGTTTCGTTTGACCTACAGATGTAATCAGCTTGATCAACTGTAGAGCAGTTTATATAATATATCTATCCGTGCTGGATGAAAATTTATTCAAGCTCATCTGATTGAAATCCAACAATTTTGTTTTCAAAGGCAAACAGTCAAAAATTGAACAGAAGCGATAGTACACAAAAGAGAATAGTTGCTATGAGATAGTCAATAAATCAAAATTCTCGATATTAAACCTATAAAACTACAACACATCGGTTTTTCAAGCCGAATAGAACGAGAAATGAGTTGGTTATATAGAATTAGCTCATTTGTCGTTATATAAAAGGTATAAATTGCAGCGTCAGTAATTTTATAACTGACATTTGATAGTTATATATACTTCTTTCCTTCACTAAGAAAATAATCAAACGAACCAAAGCAGACACGTTATGCAATTAAACGTATGCTGAGTATCATACGAGAAAAAGAATTAATGAAAAAGAGATTATACTTCTACCTCACTTTGGGCACGTGCTGATGAATGATTCTGTTATGATCCGAAATCTTTATAAACAAATTTCTATTGGAATTTTTTAAATCGATTTCGCTATACTCATATCAATACCATCGATTATTGTCGAGAAAGTCCAACTATTTTGACTAGGATGCAATTGCAAAATACACACATCGAGAATAGAGATTTTTCGGACGTTTCTTGGTATTCTTAGCATTATAAGTGATTAACGTGGCCCGTCTGAATCTTTTGAGTTAACGTTTTCATATCTAAAATATTATTCTAATCATCTCTCACTCTAGAAATACGTAAGACAGTTCATTTTTCTATGAAAAATTACAAAATACAATTAAGAATTTTGTAGAAGATTCAAATCAGGTTAGAATTTCAAAAAGTCAATCTAGTTTGCAAGCTGTCTGCTCGCCTAGCTGACAGCTTACCCGATTAGCACCTCTGATACATTGCTTTAAGTATTTTTATATAAAAATAAACTATGATTCCTTGATTAATTTAGTTTCTTTCCAAAGAAAATAATAGTTACTACATTTCTAACCTCGTATTATTTCAATGAGGACACTTGCTATGTCTTTGTTTCAACAATTAATGCTAATGACGTTGTTTACAGAAGCTTCTGTAAACTTGTGTTCATATTAGATAGATAGTACTTATCTAATAACAGAGTAGAAGTTAATATAGATTATAGATGATTTAACTATATTAACCTAACAGGTTGAAACAAGTTATAAACGTGTTAACCAGTCTTAACTTCTAGAATTGTAGATATATATATACTGCTTTAAATTTATTTACTGCCCTGACGCACAATAAGTTGGACAAAATTCGTGCTGTTGTTGGTATAACCAATGCATAACAGAATTCAGTTTCGATACCTCAAGCATTTGATTCTTGATGTTTTAATGGCATTGTTATTTTTAGCTCAAATTTAATACTCAAGTTATGTTGTCTGAAGTGAAAGCAAACAGTTTCGTGTTCTTCAAATAATGCGCAGGAGAAAAAGAAGTAAAGGTGTTTCGCAATAGTAAAACACGAATGAAGCCAAAGAAGCAGAAAAAAAAATCTATGTTGGAAATTTTATAAGAGGATGCGAGTAGGTTTTCTACACAACATTTCGTCGACAAATCAATTCATCCGTAATCAGACGAAGCATAGACAATTTTAACAGAATTTGAGTGTGGGTGTAGGAATGAGTATAGGTAACTATCAAACACGCATTTGACTTCAAACCGACTCCTTACTCAGTTAAAATTATCTAACCTTTCTCTCATTACAGATGAATCGATTTTTCGAGGAAATGTATAGTTACCGTGGAGAAATATGAATAATATTTTAAAGACTGATCAAGGAATGCTATGAAATAAGAGTTATTACTGAACTGGTTTCAATGCAAAAAAAACTAGCATAAACTGAAGAGAAAGAAGACTTTGTAGAAAACTTATTCTTCAGACTACTGATATTCAAGGACGTTTATGAATATTTAAAATATTCTGTATAGTTTTGATGTGCAAAAATCATGCTTTTATAGGAAAAGATTTCGCAATAGTTTTAATCATGATATTAATATCTTATCGAATAGTATAATTGTAGCAGATTATGAACCAATATATAAATTATCATTGCTTTATACGAATAACAATATAGATACATTGACATCAATATGTTGTATGTTTTAAATAAATAGAAAAATAGTCTAGAAACAAAGAAGAAGCAAAATTTCTTTTCTTAAAATAATTTTTTCTAGTATCTAAGAAAAAAAAGGGTAGCACACAAAAATAAAATATTTGAAAAATAAGCGAAGTTGAAGGAAAAAAGGATTTCCTTTCGTTGCTTTTGAGAAAGATATTTTTGTCATTATTGATATATGTATATTCTTTCTCAAACTTTATTATATGTTGCTTGAAAATATCCACGGCTGAGATAATCGATTAAATGTTTCAGTTTTCATTTCTTTAAGATTTCGAACAAGACGTAATGCATTATTGACATCACGACGAACTTGTCGCTAAATTTTAACAATTAAAAAATAAATTCATTTTATTAAAACGAAAAATATTTAACTTACAGAATTTGTATCAAAATGATACAATCGAGGAGCAACACCAGCTTTATCTTGTAAAAGCCATTTTCGATTTTTATCAATTTTAAGTTTATTTTCATAGAGTTTATCTACTGTATCATTATTCATTGCTTGTAAATCACTACACAATATCTATAAAAATTCAGTTTCAAACAAATCAAAATACTTACTAAGCCATATCCATAACATCTTCAGCTTTCCAAGTGCCGGGTTTAGCTTCAACACTTCTCGAGAGACCGGTATACTTGACACCAACATCTGTAACATCATCTTTTTCCAATTGAACAAACTAAAAATAAAATAAAATAAAATAACATATATACACAATTTGTTTAAAATATTTCCCAGAATTTGAAAAGAAAAAGAAAACTGTTATTTAGTCACTTTTCATTTCTGTTTTTTTTATTGCATTAATCAATATTATTACGAACAAGAACGAACTAAATAAAAATATTCGCTTGATTAATTGCACAAAACTATAGTGGAGGTGAAAAACAATGATTGTCTATATAAAATAATAATAATAATAGTAAAAAATTCAATGTTATTGGATCACACAAATGTGCTTGAGCCATTATTGGGAAGGATGGTGCATATATATGTATAAGCATGTGCGTGTGTAGATAATAGCAGTTCTAATAATAGCCGTACTAAACAAAAAATGTTTTTCTCATAACTTTAGAAAATTTTGCAAAGAGAAAAGCAAAAATTTTTTTAGTCAACATGCATAACAATAGAGAACACTTACCGTTCGACCAAAATAATCACGTGGATTATTTTGTTTTGCTAGACCACTACTACTACCAGCACGCGCTTCAACAGTACGTCGAACATCTTCACGTGCTCGATTTAATAAATTATCATCATGTGTAAGTGTTGAATATGTTGATGGTGTTGAATAACGTAGTTGTCGTAATTCACGTGTATAATCAAGATCACGCAT